GGGGGAGGGAACCCACATAACTATATCCCTGTTTCCCAAGTGTCACCAGCATGTGTGCACGTGCGTGTGTGTGTGTGTCCGTTCATAAAGCAGTATAGAAATGAATAAGAGCATAGGAATGTGGCTTTAGCAGATAATAACTCTTAATTTTTTGTTTTAAATGCTTTTTCTAGAAGTCGGTGGAAATACAGTTCACTCAAGCAAACAGCAGGCTGAGAACCATCCATATGCTTTCCTGTACCATCTGAGAAGATAAATTTAAGAGGTGGGTCTAAAAGCACCATCAGACAAAACATTTTCTTCTTCATTTGCCTTTGTTACAGTTCTGTATCTTGCTAACTAGAGCGGCTGCTGTGTTTTACCCTAGATAGATAGAACTTTATTTCAGTGGTATCTAATGCCTGAACATTGCGTCCAGCTAAACAGTCGTTTGATGTCTCTTTTAGATAAAAGATGTTTTAGAAAAATAATTTAAAATACTTTTTAAATTATTGCTTTATTACAACAAACATAGCTACATGTATATTCTTATCCCTGGGCAACTCTGGGACTATGAGTCTACCCACAGCCTAAATTGCACCCAGAACAAAGATTTATTTTAAAAATAAGTACACAGAATTTATCTCAGCATTAAATATTTTTATCCTCTTAATAAACCCCCTGAAATCAGCAGAAGAAAAGCAGTGTGTACAAGCAAATAGTCATTTGGTTATTTTTCTCTATCAACGTCAAAAGATCGGAAGTGTGAGACTTTTAGGAAATCTTGGTGGTTGAGTTACCGTGAACCTAATTCACGAGATTCAAGCATTTTCTCTTCTGAATAAGTAGTCCGAAACAACCACATGGCTAACGGCTTTCCCAGGTTGTGCTCCTTGTTGAGCAAGCGTATCCCTGACTGTGTCTACGGCAGCAAGCGATGTGGTGCCACAGATGTGGACGCGGAGATGAGACCGCAGGTGCTGGGGACCCACCTCCACACCGTCTGTGTTCCCATGGGGCTGCTTCCCCCGGGCTCTGGTAAGGTCCTGGGGGTGGGTGCATTAGGCGCACACCTTGTGTGCATCTTCAGGCATAGTTTAAGCCCAAAGCGAACCAGCTGTGGTGCTCCAAGACTGCTCCGCAGTGTAAACTGAAGCAGAGCAAGAGGAGGCCAAGTGGGAGATCTGCTTCACAAGCTCCCGCCTCGTACCATGTAGCTGTGGGCCTGCCCGGTGCAGTATGCAAGGATATCCAAGAAAAATCTCTTCCCGTCACTTTTTGCTATGATTCAATCACCTTTGAGGCTCCAAGCGGGTAAATACGTGATGTAGGGGCACGTCAGCCAGTGTTGGATCGTGTGAGGAGGTCACCGCCTCTGCTTTGCGTTGCCCGCCTTAACACCTCGCTGGTCCTGGGCACCTGTCTCCTCCTCTTACAGTGTTCACAGGGCTATAGTTTGAGGGGGAGACAGGAAAAGCCTGTGTCGCAGAGGAAAGGACTGTAAAGCATGAGGTAAATTATCCTGGAGCGCGACCTGACGTTGCAGGTCTGTTCCGGCAAGTATATGAGACAACTCGGACCCAGCCCCCCTGCTTGGGGATTTAGCCTGAGGCTAAATCCAGGTCTCCCTGGACACTGCTCCGAAAAATGTTTGCCCTGCTCTCGGGAAGACTTTTCGCTATGCTTGCTCCCTGCTACGGTAGCCTTGTCCAGCCCTGGATCATCTGTTGGTGCAATGCCTCTCTTACCTACCCTGTCATGCTGGTGGTAAAGATGGGTGATTTAAGAAGTTGGCTTATGTATGGGTAGTAGCAGTCCCATTAGATGTCATCAGGGTCCAGTCTGTGTATAAAATTATAGATATATATATATATATATGTTGAAAAGCCGAGCTTCAAGATGCTGCAAAATCTGAAAGTATTGCTATGTGGTACTAACGATTAACAGCAGTAACTGTAATAGGTTTTCATGATATGGACAGGGTGAATGGCAAAAGGGATTCAGGTCTTTGTATTTTCTTTTCAGCTTGTTATTATCTAGAGAAAAAACACTAATTACCAGAAGCTAATAGCTAGTGTGTTACTTACCCGCTTAATTAGTACACTGATTATTAAGTGCAGTGATAACCACTAGTTAGAACATATTTGCTTTTTAAGGCTTCCTTGTTTATCTGCCTCCCCGCTCCCTCTTTTTAATGACACTGACACCAGCAGAGTTGCTGGAGAGAGAGTACCAGTAATTTCCCCTTGGGAAATGAGTCATTTTGAGCCTCCTGAACACCGTTAGGATTTTCGTTCTGTTGTAAAATGACAATTTGCTTTTCGCTTTTGAACCGGTGGCTTACGCGAGGTTCTGACATTAAAGCGCTAACACTTAAGATTGGGAGGATGAACTCAGGGGAGCAAAAGGCCGCTTCAGTGGCTGATACAAGATCTCGCTCAGCGTCTGCCAGCTGGGAGACAGGACAGCTTTTGACCAACGCCGTCTTTGGCAACGCATCTTTGACTCCTGAAGCGGTCAGCGAAGTATTCCCTGACACCTCTGTCTAAAGTCATGAGATCATCTCGGGATGTCATTCATATAGCCCCAGCTGTAGCCTCCCACTCTCCATCCTTTGGGGCGTCCTGGGTGCTGCCTTTAGCACTGATGTGATGTGTCCGCGTTCGGCCGCAGAGGCCAGCTGGATTTGTGGCGGGTGCTCCCGAGGTAGGCTGCCCGCTGCAAGATGAAGTATCTGCTCAGAAGTTCATCCGTGCTGAACTGGAGTGTCAGGTAACTCCCTGGGGTTTCTTAATAAAATTGCTGTTTAAATGGAAAACTAAGCATAAATATCTGCCAAAAATCCTGTATCCAGTTGATTGGCATTTGCGGGCCGGTGCCAGAAACTGTTATACTGCAGCCTTTTTAAGAAGTCTTATTTACTCTCTCAAACGAGAGGTACATTGTAAATGACTGAAGCCTGTGAATTAAGATGCATGACACAAGGGAAAAAAAAAATCTCTTGCTTACAGAGCACAGTCTGTGGCCGTGCTTGAGTTGGATACGTTGTGGCACACCAGAATAAGTACTTTGCTGGTTGTAAAACCTAATGGAAGGAGCAAGACATTCCTGCACTTTCTGCCCTCGATTCTTGGCAGTGTGGATTACAAAATCCTGTTGACTAAAGAACGTGGATTAGAAAGAATGAGCTAACGATATGTACAGTTACTGGTTTTATAGCCGCCTTAGTATGCCTGATGCTTCACACTGATTTGACATTGCCTCTGCCCTGAGGAGCTTGAAATCTGAAGGCGAAACCCTGAGACCATCTGAAATCTGACCATTTCACGGAAGGCTCTGAAAAAAGGATTCGTGAGACTGAGCAAAAGAGATTGCGTTTGACATGTCATCCTAGGGAGCAGGCAGGGAGTCAGCAGTAAACAACTGGAGAGGAGGAGGAAAATAGCGGAAGAGCCCTAGTTGTTGCCAGCTTGATTCCAGCCTCGTTCACCCAGCTAGACTTTGCCGGCGGAGGTATTTCTGATGTGACCCTGCTCTAAGGAGAACACCTCTCAGGCTTTTAAGCAACTGAGCCGCTACCTGAGTGGTTTCAACTCCTTGGTCCTTTGGCCTCGTTCAGTATGTCTGAGAGTGGCGGTCCCAGAAGGAGCGGGTCGTGTCCCCGTCACTGCGCGCGGGCCACGAGGCGCCGGCCGGGCTGCTTGGGCGTTTGTGGGGCACGCTCGCGCCTTGGGTAGCCGTGCCCTCCGCTCTGACAGAAATTGAATCGGGATGAGACGCGAAGGAAGCGTTTCTTGGTCTGTGACCCAGTGATCCAGAAACCCAAGACACCCCCTGCCTCGTTTGTTAATTAGGCAGAAAATTCTCAAAGGCTGCGAGAACAAATGCCCGGGCTGCGGCCAAGGCACCCCGTTGAGCCGGCACGCGCTTCCCGCGGCTCTGAGACGTCCCGGCCCTCCTCCTTCGCTCCCCCAGTGCCTGCGTTTCCCGTCCAGCCGAAATCCTCGCAGCCTCACAGGTCCTGACTCGCAGCCCCTTGGCCGGCTCCTGCCACCGCTGCTCCCTCTAAAGCAGGACAAATGCCTGTTTACGTTGCAGCGTTTTAAAGAAGCTCATGCTTACAGGGATGGGGGTTACTTGGAGAAAAAAAAAAGTGGTTTCTATGCACAAATTGCATGCACTTGTACTTAGGTGCACAGAAGTACCTAAACTGGCAGTAGCACCCCGCTTCCTGAGAGGAAGAACTCCGGAGGACTTTTGGGGCTGCTGCGTGACGCCTGGTTCTGGAAACATGTTTAGCCACCGTACTAATAAATGGTATGCGTGAACACTGGTCCAAGAGAGTTCCTCCGGTCCTGATCTGATTCAGGCGGCCTGTAATTTCATACCCGTTCATCCTGAGGGCCCGTGGGGAGGAGATCCCTATGGGTGGTGCTGGAGAACTCGTTTCTGGAAGTTCTGCTGGTGTGTGAATGCCGTGTTCCCTGGAAAGCGGTGTTCTTCCGCCTACGGGTCTCTCTTGCCCTTGCTGATGAGAACTGAGTTCATAGATGTTGCATACGTTGCACGGGGTTCCTTTCCCTCATGCAAAGAAATGCAATAATACAATTGTTACAGCAGCAGGGAGCCCAGCTGAATGGGTAATGGTTGCACGGTATAAAGGTGTTTGCAGAGGTGGAAGGAAAAATAATCTAAATGTCTGCCTTTTACTGGGAAAATGTATTATTATTTATGAACAATTTTCATTGATGAATGAAAGTATAAAATACAGTAAGACTGTAAAAAAGGAAACTTTTGAAGTGTTACTTATATTAAATCGGGGAAGCGGTAATTACTGACGGGGCCAATGCTAGTTTATTTAAATACATAATCACGTTACTCAGAATAGCATACTTAGATTAACTTCTGTACAAAAAATAGTGCGCAATTCTTCCCGCAATAGAAATGCAAACTCCAGTGAGCATTGCTAATGCCTCTTTTCTAACTTGTGTTTGTATCCCTGGACCGTGTAGAAGGCTGAGACTTGGGACGCTCTTCTCCTGTGGCAGGAGTTGAGCAAACCCAGAGCTGGACGAAAGGCAATTTTCTAATTTTCCCGTATCTATAAAAAGTGAGTGAAAAAATGAGACAATATCGCCTAGTAGCGAATACCAGTATGGCTGGTCTCGGAGCGTGAGCAGACTGATAATTCCCTGCGTTATATTATGACTAGTTGAGTTCACGCTAACGGGGGAAGGAATCACAGAGCCTCACGCTTACTGGAGTGTCATATCCCCTAGCTTGGTCCAAATGCAGAAGCTGTCCTTCCTGCCCTTCTTAAAGAATGAAAAAATTCTACTGAGGCTTGCCGATCATTAGCAAACTCCAGAGTTTACCCCTCGTTCATCACGAGATCGGGAAACGAACTTGCTCCTGTAGTTCCTCTTTGAACTGTCAAGCCCGTGTAACCAGAGATGAAAGAAAGGCAATTTCGGGTGCTTTCCGTGCCAGTTTATCCATTAGGCACTCTGACTACAGCATGAGAAGAAACCTCAAAATTTCTTGCACGTGTTCCCAGAAGACAAAGTTAGCGCAGAAACGAGCGCACTTTTTGGTTAGTTCTTGAGGCGTGTTTGGGCACCTCTGCCACTGGACTTGCGCAGATGTTGCACGAGTTTGCAGGGCTTTGATTTGTGATCAGCAAGGCAAGTTTATTGCTTATACGGTTTTGGTCTGCAAGTGGTGAAGCAGGAACGGGCATGAAATGTCATAACCTCACACTTTTACAGTGCTATATTTTAACATAAAATTGGATACTTTGTCGGATTTGGGAAACTGGACTGCACCGAACAGGTTAGAGTCTGTTAATATTGGGTAGGCCTGAGCAACAGCAGATCAGCACTCCAAAGGTGCTTGCACTATTGGAAACGCTGTCCAGAAAGAGGGAACCATGTGGCTGGCTGTGCTTGCTGCTCAGACCCCCTGGATGCCCGGTAGCTACGTCTGCACGTAGGGCTGTGTAATGTGCTCCGAGTGCCACAGTCTGTGCCTAGCTTTAAGGCAGGTCGGGAGAGACGGGCGATTGCTCGGAATTACCTGCTGCAAGCTTGGCTGCTTCGTTGCCACTGATGCAAACTCTCTGGAAGCTGTTTGCTGTGCAGGGTTGCCACTGGCCTGACGGCTGAGCCGGGGTTCAGGACCCAGCTGCAAACTTCTGACCTGGCCCAGGGAGATGGATCTGTGGTGAGCTGAGCTGGCTCGACGCTTTGGAGGAAGGAGCCTAAAAGGGATTGCGTCTACAGCAGAGCCTTGGGCGTTGCAGCACGTCTTCTTGCTGCAGGCTACGGGCAGGCTGTATTTTATTCACATGAGAAACTAGACTAGGAGTGGGCCCGTGTATAAAGCTACGTATAGATTAAATGTCTGCACAAGGCAAATAGTACAAGCTGCTGGTTTTTTTGCTGTTACAAAAGGCTATGCACAATGCATAGCTCGTGAATGATTTTCTCAAGGAGCTGTTCCCAAACTTACGGTATTATATGAATTTCGTAGCTTTGAAAGTAAACAAAGGGAAAGCGCCCTCCACCAGGAATAAAAGGGGATGGGCAGGCCCAGCAGCCGCTAGCAACTCTGGGGACGTGGAGACACCTCCGCAAGGAAGCGAATCTTGCAGGTGTGTGAGCTACTTGCATTCTTTCTCCTCTAGCGGTCCAGGAGAAAGGAGTAGCCCACCAAATGTTTAAAAATCATTCATTTTATCACAGCGTTACTCAGTGCCTTCAGCTTTGTGAAATATTGTTTAGAAGGCTGATATAAGTTTAAGTGGATATAGGTATAAAATCAAAGAAAATGCTGCCCTTAGAGACAAGACCGTATTCCTTACTTTCAGTTAGAAGCAAATAAGTAGGAACTATTGTTCTTCAGCCTTGAGCCTGCTTTTTGTGCTCTGAAGTCATGAGTACATCTGAGTAGAAGCAAGGAAAAAGAAACTTGGTTAAGATAAAAATAAGCTCTCTTCCTGTTCTCTGATAATTTTTGCCCAAAACTCTTGCTGCAGCTGAAGTGAACGTCCTGTGATATTGGAAGAAGCGGAGTAGTTTCTTTTTATTGCTTTTGGCCCTCCCGGATTTTCCTGGTAGCACACCGCAGTCCCTGCCCATTGGGCCTGAGAGCCGGGGGGGGGGGTTCCTCTTCCTTCTTTAAAGCCCATTTTTTCAGGCTTTAAAAGATTCTGGTTACTTTTTCCAGATTTAAAAGATTCTGGTTACTTCAGGAAAACAAGTCCGATTTTGCAATGTGCTGTGTACAGAATGCAGAGGGAGGTCACTGGGCTGAAAAGTTAAATTTTGCAAGTCTAAAATTAATCGAATTCTTTGGGTGACCTGAATAAAAATAGTAACTGGAAAGCCCACTAGCTGTGGGATTTCATGTGGTAGTTGGGCAGACTGTGCTGATGCAGAAGCAGCAGAAAGAAGCACGTATTTTGTTACCCCAGCTGATAAATTCAAATCCAAGCCATCCGCATCAAAGAATCCTGGAGAGAAGCGACGTTTCAAAGCAGGAAACTCAGTCATTGTTTCTATGTTTTAAGGATTACTGCATTTCCATCAGCTCCTTTTCCACAGGCTGATATCTGCCCTTTTTTGAGGTTATCCTCTCGCTGGTGCAACTGCCGTCTACTGACTGCGAGGCTGATGGGCTAAGCGGCTCCTTTCAGCGACGTGCTTCTCTAACTCTGAAAGCTAGGAGGAACCCACGTGGGAAAACCTGTGCCCACGCCGCCTCTGAGCAGCGGGAAGAGTTTATTCAGCAGGGCCCTGCCGAGTTATTTTTAATTAAATGATCACGTTGCCCAGAGAGGTTGTGGAGTCTCCTTCCTTGGAGATATTCAAAAGCCGCCTGGACAGGGTCCTGGGTAACGTGCTCTAGGTGACCCTGCTTGAGCAAGGGGGTTGGACTAGATGATCTCCAGAGGTCCCCGCCGACCTCAACCGTCCTCCGATTCTATGAAATTATGGCCTTGGTTTACACGAGTTGAGCTCCGTAGCTCTGGAAGTGCGCGAAATGAGTCTGAAGTGCTGCTTCTAGTTTGCCAGCAGCTTTGTCTGTCTTCCTCAGAATACTGTTTTTGGGGTGAACCGAATTCCCCCCTAAGCTGTAAAAAAGCAAGGAGGGAGCTGCAGAAGGAAAGGCTCAGACTTTTGGGTAACTGTGAAGAGAAGAGCAGTTGAGCTGATACGAGGGCAAGGTGGTATTTCTTTCAGATTGCCCTGCGAAGGAAACTCCTGCAAGCCGTCCGTGTCTAGCAACGCCCTTCACAGCCAACCTTGCCATCCGTCAGGGCGCCGAGTGCATGGCTAGGCCTCAACAGCCCGGCCCGGACTCCAGGGACCTCCAACCACTCGCCCGGCCCGGGGGCCGCGCTTAAGCTCAGCCCTGGGCCCCTGTTCCCTCCCTGAGCTGCATGTTAGGATTGCTGGTCTCCAGGAGTGGCCTTGCCCGGCCTCGGACCCTGCGGATGTGGCAAACGTTTTCACGTTTGCTCCGATTCAAGCAAAAATCGGAAACGGGCCGCTCTATAACCTGCTTAGAGGATGTCGCAGTGACGTTAAGATAGCACAGGAATTGTAGGAAGTTTGACTGATGTCTGCAGTAATTTCTGTGGCAATTTTCAGCATACTACAACCCATCTTTTGCAGTTTTCACTTTTAACATTCAGTCTGCTTTGAATTTTTCAAGATG